ACCTTTCTGTGCCTCCGTGCTCACCCGAAAAAAACTTTACCAACAAAGCAAACCCCATAAGAGTCAGAAAAGTATGTGTCCTCTTGTTTATTAGGACTTCAGGAATGTCAATAAGAGTGTCTCTATACAGTAGGCGGGCTGAGGAGGCCAGCGCGCAGACACATTGACCTTCTGCTATTCTCCTCGTTGATAATGACCCAGACAAACCCACACTGCCCATCAACCAGACCTCTAATGAAGCCAAACACTCTATATCATCTGCTAATAACCTCACAGCAGCAAGAGTCATGAACAGGCCAGCGTCTTCTGAATGCGAGGAGGGGAACAAAGCGCTGGGCGGACAGGAAGTAGTGGAAAACATCCTGTTTATTGATCTGGGACTGTGCGCTGCCTGATGGCACGTGGTGGTAACTACATGCTTCTTCTTCATCCCCCAAAACACACAAAGACAAAGACTACGGTAGCAAAACATACACAGTGCAAAAGTTTTCACTTTAACAATCAATCCTTCTGGTACACTCATTTGCTAGGCTCTACACATGTACAATTACACGCACACGCTTGCCGGTGTGGTATTTCCTTCCAGAGATAGGGGAGGTAAACTCGTTATTCTTGTCTTAATTGGTATAGAGATTCCGTCCTTTTTTTCCTCTCAGCAACCCCTCCAGGGGAATGCTGATTGATTGTCCTCTGAGTCCTCATAATAGTCCCCCCTCCTCTCGCCCCTCCACCTCCCTGCACATTTACACACACATTCTCTGCTAGAAGACATCCTCTTCACCTCACTGAAGACCCCTTGTCATCCAGAGACAATTCACAGTTTAGTAGAGGATCATTTTTCCAACTTTCTCCTGCTTCTCCTTCAGCTTTCACATCACTGGCTCAGCCTGACGATGTACCCATACAGCTGGTTTGAGAAGGCCTGAAGAGAGAATTTATCTTGAACCCTCCGTCTCCCAGCTTGTCCCATGTCCCTGCGGAGCCGCGGCTCCCTCACGAGCCTCTCCATGGCCTTGGAGAAGGCCTCTGCCGTGGGCTCGCACAGAAAGCCCGTCTCCCCGTCTGCCACACTCTCCAGGGGGCCCCCAGAGTTCACTGCGATAACAGGGCAGCAGCAGTACATGGACTCTACGGGAACTATCCCAAAATGCTCTCTACTCGGGGTGTACAGCACTGCTGCGCTGCCCCGCAGCAGTGCCACCTTCAGTGAATCAGAGGGGGAGCGCAGGAAAGTGACAAAGTCTTCCAAGTGGAGCCGCGCTGCTAGCTCTCTCAGTTCAGTATAGTGTTGAACATTCTCAGTAACTCGGTCATCGTAGCCCCCCGCCACCACCAGGTGAATACCTGCTCTCTGGCCTGGAGGAAGGCTGCTCTTCAGGGATGCAAAAGCCTCCAGAGCCAGCCCCAGATTCTTCTTTCTCTCGTATCGGTTCAGAGAGAGAAACAGGCATGAGGTTCCCTCAGGGAGCAGCCCTTCCAGGCCTTGTGCTTCACTGGACTGCTGGTCAAAGGTACGCGTGTTGAGGGAGGGATAGAGGACGTCTGTCTGGACTCCTCTTAGACCACGAAAGGTCTCTGTGAAGACGCTTGCGGTGAACTGGCTGTTTACCAGAATCTAAGAGGAAGTACAGGGAGATTAGTTCATAAGGATCTCACACATATATCACATGCATTTTAATTCCCTATGAAGTTGGTGACAGCCTGCAGTCTTTGATTATCCTGAAGTCTAGACTAAAGTCGAAATGTCAGTTTCTTTTCTGTCAGGGCCCTGAGCTCTTACAACAGCTTGCTCACGGAGATCAGGCTGTACCACATTTTAAATAATCACTTTGGTTTATTCAAGCTGTTAAAAATAATATACCTTGTATTTTGATGTATTATATTACACGATAGTTTTAGCCGTTATCAAGCACCAAATTCAGTCAGGAAGAGAGACTTCACTTCTCTTAACCTGTTAAACAACATCTGGGTGAAATAAAAGTAATTCTGAGCAAACCACTAACCACTGAGCTATAAAAAAATATATTATTTTTCACTAATCTTTCCTTTAAGGCAGCCTTTCCCTGTGACAGCACTGAAATTCCAGGATACAGTTTATTACATTCATGATCTATAAGTGATCTTAAATGTGTTTTTATTCAGTGCTATAAACCTGCTTTGTGCAACAGAATAAACTTAGATTCATATAATTTTAATGTTGTTACTGTTTGGAAAATCACATTCCTGTCTGCAATCGGCAAAATGCAAAACCAACTAGAGAAACTAAATCAGATCATCCTAGTCGGCCCAGCAATAGTCTGGCGACCTGTCCAGGGTGCATCATGCCTTCGCCCAATGTCAGCTGGGATGGGCTCCAGACCCCCTGCGACCCTGAACAGGATAAGCGGTTAAAGATAGTGGCTGGATGGATCATCCTATTCGTTTTAAAATTGATTGAGAATGCTTCTTATAAGACATTAGTTGTTATGGCCCCTGTTTCTCCTTAAGACTGGCCATTTTCAGACAGCATTTATCGCCAGGGCCCTTAAAACATTCAGGTCACATCGTACGCATCTTTTTAAAATCACTTACAACTATTTTATTTGATGATTATTTTTTTTAACTTGATCTAATACATGTCTGGTGTTTTTGTAGTGTAATTATGTTTTCTATTTATTGCTTGCAAAGGTTGTTTTTTTACCGCTGTGCAAAATAAATTTGCTTTTCCATCTGGATAAAATAAAACTTTGTACAATGACACAATCCTGCTCTGCAATCAGACCATCACAACCTGTAGAACGTTACAGCCTTCCACCCTCAGCTGTAACGTACCATATCAGCCATGCCAGTGGTGCGTTCCTCCAGCCAGTCGATGGGAGCGCGATAAAGCTTCTTCAGGGCCGACTTCCTCTGCGTCAGTAGCTGGTCTGGAAAGTGACAGTAAAACAAAACCTTCTTCCTGTGACGGGACAGTCGCAGCACCGGGATACACACCGACACCTGGGGTGAAATAAAAAGGGTATAAACAAAAATGTACATGAATTCCCGAAAAAAATATGGCAGCAGGAAAATACAAAATATGTATCATAGCTAAACATTCCGTTATATAAATTGACTCTAAACATAAGGTAAATCATGCACTGTGTTAATATATCGAACAGTAAATGCACATCTTAAGACAAGTCCTGCAAAATGCTCTTTGTGAACTTTGCATGACATGTTTTGGATGATCGCGGTTTTATTAATTTAACAAGTGAGGCTTCTTCTGCACTGCAAGACGATCTGAATAGTGAGTTCTCTCTGTACTGTAATATTGTGCAAGAGAAATGTGATAACAAAAGGAGCATATTTGTGTTAAAGACAAAATAGTAGAAGATAAGCAAGGGAGGGTCCACTTCATGGCAAAATGATCAGACAAAAAAGAAAACACAAAACAACACAAAAAGGGAGAAACAAAGAGACCACTGTTGACAATGGACGATATTCTCTGAGCAACAGAGACAGTTAGAAGATACAGAAGGCTGGGGACCTCAAATGAGGGGCGACCATGCAGACAAATAGTTTCTGTAGGACAGGACTCACTTGGTCACAGAAGATGACATCGTACTCCACCCCGCTGAGGAAGACCAGGTAGAGGGCCACATAGATCATCCTCAGGTAGGCACACAGGGCATGCAGGTAACCAAACACACTGGTGGGTAGCCAGTCACCCACACACACCTATTAGAAGAGGAATTGAAACAATGAAAAAATAAGTGTGTGTCTTCTGAATTTGACATATACTATTCTTTGTTGTGTTTCTTTGAGGGACAGTATTACGTAGTAAGGCCTGTGTTAACGTACCACAGGCAGTTCTGGGTCCAGGGTCTCAGAGAAGCAGTGTGTTGGGTCATAATGGGCCGTCCAAATCTGCACGCTACATCCCTGAGACTTCAGAGCGACAGCAGCGTCTACCACCAGTCTCTCTGCTCCACCAATACCAAGGTCTGGATGGAGAAACACCACCCGCGCCATCCTGCACACAAGAATGATGAAAGTTCAAATGTAATCTGGAATATATTTACCTACAAGACAATGCTGTTTTGCAGAGAGGGAAGTTAAACACATTGCATATCTATATATATATATATATATATATGATGTAGAATGAGATAAACTGATGAGCACAGACAGGCCAGAAGACGGTGCAAATCATCCCAAAATCTGAAGTAAAAAGAGTTTAACAACAGCTTAAACATTTGCTTGATATCGGCAAAAACAAACCAGATATGTATGAATCCACTCTCTTGTGCCAATAAGAGAAACTTTTCAGAATCGTATTGTTGCCAAACGTCACAAATTTGTCCTTGTGGTTTATTAACAATGGATTTAGATAACTGTTTCCTTAAAAAAGTTATCCCATGCGTTTTTAGCTAATGTAAGTTAACTGTTACAGTGAAGACATTATGCTTGCTAGCCTATGTAGCTGTTGAAATTATAACCGTTTTACGAAACTAACAGGTGAGCAGTTGTCTTTGTGACTGAACACAACTATATCTCCACACAACCTAATTATAATGCAGTACTGTTTACCTTTTGGATCTATCGACTACCTTGTCCGAGTTCGGATGCCTGCCATTAGGCTCGTATATGTGGCCGTAGCCGAATGAACTGTCAGGAAACTCTACTGTTTGGACGCCATGTTGGCTCAAATCACCTATTGTGATCAGGTCTAATCGCGATCTGAGTATGCGCCTCAATGGCGTCTGTTTCCTCGATGTAACGAACGCGCTTCCTGTGAGACACGTCTCCTTCAGAATCAAAGCAGACCAAAAATGTGCCTTTAAATTAAAATACAATTACAAATCTAAATTAAATGTACTAAAGATGCAACTGGATTTCGGAAATATTTGTAATCAAAATGGCCTAAAAAAAGCTCCTAAAATATTTTTTAATTCATTATTTTTGTGGTGAACGCGATCAGCGTGTCAGGCTTCTGCTCGGTCGCCTCCTCTGGTCTTGTGTTTTGCAGTCGTGTCCTTTTTAGACAGGCGTCAGCTTTGTGGGATCTCTTCTCAAGTTTTGACCAATTCATACACCGACTGTCTGCTGTTCATTTGACGTGGACATTGGCTCGAAGAAGGGATCAGGTTTTCACCTCGCATCAGAACAAATACAACAAAAATGGTAAGATACTTAAGATAAGATACTTAGCTCCATCTGAAACTGCTAGCTTACCAGCTCCAATGTGCCCGTTTAACGTTATACCTCTGCTAGCGTGTTGCTATCGGTTAGCTAGCTTTCTAAGGCTAACTCATCATGTGTGGACGTGGCTCTAATCAAACAGTCCCAACACACACATTTTACGATGGCCCAGCTCTAAATGAATGAATTATAACGTTATATGTTCCTGAAGACATTTGGTTGAGACTCGGCATGTGGCCTTCGCTTAGAAGTTGAACTCAACGAACAGCAACTAGTGAAGGCCTTTGCCATCAGTCTGACATGAACACACTGTATAGTTCAAAATCAAAAAGTAAATAATCTAATCAAGTATCATTGTTAAATCTCGTTATTCACATGTTGTTGGGGTTTGTTTTTTAGCCAGAAATGTGCTTGTGTGTGTGAGAGTGACAGGTTTCAGGCAGAATGTTAGAGAGAGGGTATATTGGAGTTGAATCGTGTGTGTGTGTGTGTGTTCATTCATTCATTCATTCATTCATTCATTCTGGTGTCTTCCCCTCAGCCTGGACCAGCAGCAAGTGCAACCAATGTTGGGGCGTCTAGCCGTTCCCCCACTAAGACGGTGGCTCCCCGTGCAGCAGGCTCCACAGTCAGACAGAGGTAAACACACACACTCTTCCAAACTTTAACCTCTCCTCTTTATCCTGAAGAAAGATGGGTAAGTGCATACAGATGTGTGACAGACCTGCTTAAATGGATGCAGTAAGACAATGAATGAAGATTCTTCGATGTAGGACTCAAAGGCTCACTGAATTGTTTGAGGAGTATAAACATGATCATTTGCTACAGTTGTCGCAGTCACCAGATTACAACTCATTTGAACACCTATTGGACATTTTAGTTCGACTTGTTGGGTAGCCCTCTTGGCCACCATCAGCAAAACACCACATGAGGGAAAATCTTTTGGAGGAATTTAGTTCATCACTCCAGTAGAGTTCAAACACCTGGAGAATACACAAAGCATTGAAGCTGTTGTGGCAACTTTGAGGTCTTGCTTACCAAGACACGTTGCATTGTTTTCTCCATTAATTTGTGATCCGTTTGTCGGCTACCACTGTGAAAAAGTAGAAGACTGCTTCTCATTAAACATGAGATATAAGTTATGTGGTCATCTCGCTTGCACACATTCTCTATAATTATTTGCCAAATACCCCAAGCGTTGACCCCCCCCCCGCCTGCTCATGTCATCATGCTGTACGGAGTGATTGATGATTTTCAGATAGCCTTTCCCTTTATGTTTGTGTGCCCTGTGTAGAATAGAGCAGCAGATGGATGTTGTGCTGTGGGCTTAATCAGTGTGTAATCAGAGTCTCGCTGTTACCTCTCCCATTATTACCCATTACTATCACCCTCTTCATTACCTCATTAACCTCTGTTTAATCTCGTCACGAGTGAAGCAGCCATGAATCACTGCGCTCCTTCATCAGCAGCTATTAGTTAGTTACATTGTGAGTACAGTGTATAATGGCGAAGATGTTTTATATTTTTAATGATTGTTGTTGTTTTTTTTTTGTCAAAATGTTTGGTTTTAAGAAACTGCTGGATGAGTGTAAGTTATCAGATTTTTCAGAATTGTCTGGTTTTCCTATATAGTAACATGAAACTTGCTTTATCGGGGAAAAAACATATTTATTAAGGAAGCATTTCAACAGTTTAAGATCAGATTAGTTATCCCGTAAACACTAGTGTGTGTGTGTGTGTGTGTGTAGATATATTCTTGACTTGGTATGTGTGTGTGTGTGTGTGTGTGTTCCACAGGAAAGCTACCAGCAGCGGTACACGCAGCGGTGGCAGGACCACAGGATCTGCAGGTACCGGTGGCATGTGGCGCTTCTACACAGAAGACTCGCCAGGCCTCAAAGTGTAAGTGCAGTTCATAGAAGCAGAACACACAAGGACATAAACACGAGCAAACACATTTAGCCACTGACATTTCTAACTTCCATTCACAAACGCGTACTAATTCTCAGGATTTCCGACACTTGATATCATTAGTGTCATATATTTTCATCCGGTAGAATGGGATGAATGTTTAATGGCAGGAAATTGGACAAACGTGCCTCTGTGGTCAAAAAATGTATCTTTGAGGTGTGTGTGTGTGTGTGTGTGTGTGTGTGTGTGTGTGTGTGTGTGTGTG